ACCGAGCAGCACTGCAGCACAGCGAGGAGGAGCACGCCACGCAGCTCCACTGAGGAGGAGGAGAGGGAGGAGGAGGTTATTGTCTAAACCACAGACTCTGGATGCCAATAGAAACACCTGTCAGGTCACACAGGTGAGTCAACACGTCTGAGACAGTCTGAACATCAGAACCTTCATGAAGGAGGATTCATCTCAGTCTAAGCTGCTGTTCCTAATAAACTGACCACTGTGATCAGCTGTTCCCTGGTGAGGAACAGAGTGAGGGAACCATGAACTCAACTCAGGGAACCAAGATGTTCCAACAGACACTGACATCAACAGGAGAGGAAGAGGATGAAGAGGTGGAAGAAGAAGAGGAAGATGAGCAAGAACAGGAAGACGAAGAAGAGGAAGGTGAGGATGAAGAAAAGGAAGAAGAAAAAAAAAAGGAAGAAGAGGAAGCGGATGAATAAGAGGAAGAAAAAGAGGAAGTAGAAGAGGAAGCAGATGAAGAGGAGGAAGAAGAGGAAGATGAGCAAGAACAGGGAGAGGAAGGAGAGGAAGGTGAGGATGAAGAAGAGGAAGAAGAAAAAGAAGAGGAAGTGGATGAAGAGGAGGAATAAAAAGAAGAGGGAGAAGAAGATGAAGAGGAAGTGGATGAAGAGGATGAAAGTGTTTTTTCTGTTTTTAACAGAAACGTTACAGGATGAATTTCAACCAATTTTTTTTTTTTTTATGGATTAATTCTAATTTTCTGACACGTGACCTAAAAACAGAAACACTGGTGATAGACTGACTCACTGGTCCTGGTCCTGGTCCTGGTCGCAGCAGATTTTCAAATTAAAAGCTCCGCTGTAGATTCCGTTACAGAGCTGCGTCGCGCGCTCGGTCTCCTGTTGATTTCACCGTCTGTGATTTATTTAAATCACGGTGCTCCCTCCGGTGTTCCCGCTCTCAGTCCGGTACCGTCCGCTGGTTCCGCTCCGGTTCGGTCCCGGTCTCTGTCTCGGGTCCGCCGGGTTAAAGGTCGATGTTTTTGTTTTTTTGATAAATTGATGAATTGCTCGTTGAAGCGGTAAAAAGCTCCGGTACCGTTCGGAGCCGTCACCGTCCCACAGCGGAAGGACAGATCCCGGTGTCTGGACCGAGTCGACGCTGTTTCAGTCCCGGGTTAGTCACGGGTAAAGCCCGCTGACATTGTTGATCCGGTCTGGTCCTGTTGATTCACCGACTCCTTTCATCAACATTAATCATCCGTTAAATATTATTTCCCCGGTAACGCGTCACTTTATTTCCCGCTCGTTGCTCTCGGTTTTATTCGGTTTCGGTCCGTCAAGGCTCGTGATCCTCGCGGACTTCCAAATGACCTGATGCTCGCGAGCCCGCGGTCTGTCCTTGGATCCTGACGCTTGCCTCCGCGCGCTCACGGACGAAGAGGAGAGGAGGCGCGCGACCGCTGGAGCGCGGACACGAGCGTCATCTCTCTGGCGCTTGTGAATTAATGAAGCGCGCGGTCACAGTTCAGAGGCTGTTTCTACATTTATACTGATTCTATCAATCTACTGCGCATGTCTGGATTTATTCATTCATTCAGTCCATTTATTAAACATATATATACATATATTAAAATAATTCATCCAGATTAAATCATTAAATATTTTATTTGAATAATTTCATTTATTATATTAAATTTATTAATTATTTATTATGAATTGTTATGATTTTGTGTATAAATATATATATATATATATATATATATATATATATATATACACACACACAACCAAAGATTACATATCACATAAATTGTATATCAATATATTTCACAATTGGTTGACCTCAAGAAGCTTTTCATCACATCATAATATATATTATTATTATTATATTTATAAACACACACACACACACACACACACACATACATATATATGTATTTACCTGCATGTTCATATTATTACTTGTGAAAATGTGATTTGATTTGCTGTAACTGTCAGTATAAAAGCACCAACATGTCGGAGTCAGAACATGTAACCCACGTCAACAGATGGGACACATTTGATCGTGCGTGTCCATCTGTGTGTGTGTATAATGTTATAAATATCATTGTGGGGGTGGGGGTGGGGTGGGGGGGTTCTCAAACTGTGACAACAGAGTTAAGATGTGGCTCTGGATCAGTTGGTGTTGTGGGTCACTGTGAGCCTGACTTCATGTGAGTGTAATAAAAGCAGCAGCAGAAGAAGAAATCAAACCATTCAGACTGAGCTGCTCTTCTTCTGTGGTTGTTTCTGCTTTAAAATCACCCCATCTGCTGCCAGCATGCACAGTTGCCACAGCAACAGAGATGCAGCTCCGGATCCTTATTGTGGTTTCCATGGAAACAAGCATCTCCCAAAAGCCCCACCCCCAAACCAGATATAACATGTAATTAACACACACACACACACACACACACACACACACACACACACACACACACTAAAAAAAAGTCCTAATTTACTGAAAATAACTAAGTTTTCTAACAGTAATTTCCTGTTTTTTAAAGTTGTGAACAAAAGTTAAATAATAATAAATTACATCTATTTCCCATTTCTATAAAGACAAATTACTGTTTTATTTAAACAGTATTTTTCTGCTTTCTTAAATTACAAACAAATCTGTGTAAAATGACAGTAATTATCTGTAATTAAAAATGTAGCTTGTTATTATAAAGGTTAATGTCCATAATAACAATTTAAAGATCTTCTCTGTAATTTCAGGGTGAATCTTTTCTTCATCACATCAAACATTCAAACTTAAAACAAAAAAGTTTGAAGTACTGGAATGTATCCCAGCATGCACTGGGAGGAAAGCAGGACAATGGTTTATCACACAACAACACACAATCACACACACACACACACACAACAACACACAATCACACACACACACACACTCAGACCTATGGACAGTTTAGAGTCCTCAGTGAATGAAATGTGCATGTCTTTGTTCTAGTAATCAGAGTCCTGGAGGAAACACAAAGAGAACATGCAACACTGCAAGTGTGTGTGTGTGTGTGTGTGTGTGTGTGTGTCAAGTGGCAAACTGCTGTGACGTCACCCACTGGTTTGTGAGCTGCCGTTTTGAAGCGTCGAGTTCGGGTAACTGGATGTCGCCATCTTGGTTTTTTGGAGAAACCATATCTGGATGAGAGGGTGGAGCTGGGGAGGAGGGAGGAGGGAGGAGGGTTAATTTCTACTTGTTACTAAATAAGATTCATCCACCTCTTTATGATGCAGACTTGTCTTGTGACAGTGAAGTTCACCTGCACCTTCATTGCACAACTGGATTCTAAGATTTTAATTTCGTCAGTTACAGTTGATTGTAATTGGTTTGAAATGTAATGCATGTTTAAATGTGAATAAAGTTTTTTATGAAGCTTTGCTTTGTTGTGATGGGTTTTTATGGAGCGTGTCTGGTAAATGGAATTTTACAGTGCAGCAGCACAGTAATAGAAATTCTACCAAACACACTGAAGTTTCTCTCTGAATCTGTAATTAATCAAAAAACTTTTCTAATGTTGCTTAATCAACAACAAAAACATGAATAGAAATGTTTAAATGTGTCCGTCCTTCAACATGACAATTACCCAGGAAAACACCCAAACACCACTCTAACTGCAACAAAATCCAAATATAACAATTATTAAATAATGTCAATTAAAAGTTGTAATGAAGATTAAGAAAACGCTTTTGTCCTGTCTTCTCTTGATCTTTCCCTCCATCCTCCACATCTTCCACCACAGCACGTTGTGACTACACCTGCATGTGAGTGAGGATCAGTGTCAAATCCTTCTCGGGATTGGACCAACTTGCTGCAGATGTATGACGTTGGCAGCTGGAGGGTTTTTCCTCAGGCAGCGCGGCCGCCCTCTGCCACAGGCACCAAAGCTTCAGGTCACCTTCCTCTTCCTGTAGGCTCTGGTCCTGGTTACAGGTAGTCCAGTAGAGGAGGTGGATGGAACAGAAGAAGAGGGGGTGTTGTGCTGGCAGCGAGGGGAGGACCAACCAGCACTGGATGAGGGCCATGCGTGTTCATATCTGGAGGAGAAAGGAGGAGGAGATGAGGAAAGGGAACAGACCCCTGCTGGAGGCCCAAGGCTGCTCTCCAGGACAATTGAAGTTAAAGGTCTGTCCTTGTCCCACCTGGACCAAGGACAGACCCTTGCTGAAGGGAGAGTCTGGCCAGCACTGGCCTCTTCTGATGCCAACATGATCCTGGAGAACTGAATTGACCAGCGATGTCCCTCACGGTCCCATCGTGGACCACGTGGCCACCTGGGTGAAGACGCAGAGCTGGTTGCAAACGGCTCCACCAGGCGGCTAAACACTGGCCCAGTTTGCAGGCCCGAGTTCAGTCCAAGAAGACAGCTGAAAGATATCAGAGAGCAGTGTGTGTGAATATAGATTCTGATATTCATTAGAGGAAACAGTGATATCTGAAGTGACTCTCACCTCTGGAGACTCTCCTTCCCAGGACAGGAGGTGTTCTTCCCCGTCGGCGCCTTGACTGTCACCTGGGCTGCCTCTCCTGGTCTCTGGAAGGGAAGACACCTCGCTCCTTCCTCCTGCTCTGTTCTGGCAGGTGTTGCCAGGAGCTTGAAGTACTTGGCACCTGGCTTGAGCAAAAAGGTTTTGGATCAAAATTGAATTCTATGTTTGCATGAAATGATAATACAGAATATCGCTATAACAAGCTCTGAGACACAGGCATGTACCTGGGATGAAGTGGTGAAGGTAAACCGAAGGCTGACCCGCCCCTTCGTCAGGTCTACGCAGTCTCTGTACAGCTGCACCTGCTGGGTCCTGATCAGCTGGTGGCTCCTCTGTGTCTCCATATGTCTGGATGCAGAGAGAATCCAGCAAAGAGACGTCCAGAGTGACGTGGAGATCCTGGATGAGGAGGACGTCTCCTCTGCCCCATGTGTTCCTCCCCAACAGTGGAGCCTCCACTCCTCCCAGGAGATCCTCTGGATCACTTGGCAATCAGTCAGGCCGAGCATCCTGGCGCTTCCCCTCCAGCTGGACCGCTTGCCTCAATGTGACAAACAGGAACCTCCGGGGGTCCACCTCCAAGATGTGGCGTCTATCAACTCCGCCGCATCCTGGAAGCCAACACACCAACATTGGTAACCAATTGGTACTGGAGAGAGACAAAAGGTTTCACATGTTAATATTAATATTTGCGTGTGAATTTATAGTACACACACAGCAGTGGTGTGAGAGCAGCTGTAAGAACATAAACTGCCTGAATATAACTTCATCCTGGAGAAACCCCTGCTGGGAAAGAACATAGAGATGGCTGTTGGAACAGATCAATCAGTGCATTTAGAAAGTTCTCACTTTTTTTACATTGTATTATTCTGCAGTCTATCCTTAAATTCATTCACGATGAACAATGCCAGCAAGCTAGCTGCTAATACTAAGAGCTAGCTGCTATGCTAGAAAACTAAGCCCCCCCACTTGTCATTTTGCAATTTTATAATGAAAATCATTAAATTCATTCATCAATGAACAATGCCAGCAAGCTAGCTGCTAATGGTAGCGCTAATGAAAAATGGAGGGCAGCTCTATGTACTGTACGTGCACATGTTCATTGCTGCCATTATCAATTATTGCAATATATTATTGTCATAATTATTATATTTTACAATCACAAACAAAAATGTCACTCCATATACAACTTTGTCACTTGTCTATCTTGCCTTCATGGTTAAAGTGTTTTCTGTGTCACCTTCTGTTTGTCACGCTGAAGATGCTAACTACCCCCCCACTTGTTATTTTCCATTCTTATGTAATTGTTAAATTCATTCGTCAATGAACAATGCAAGCAAGCTAGCTGCTAATGCTAATAAGCTACCCCCATGTCGCCTTTTTTAGTTTAGTTTATTTAGTTTATTTTCTGAAATGTGAGAGTAACACAACAAAGTAAACTAAAAAACAAACAAATCCAATAACAATAGTCAAAACAAAAATAATAATGTGAACCCAACATGTCCGAAAAGGAGTAGGATGAAGCATATGCTTATTTAAACCTACCCCTTCTCCACTACTCAACTATCTATCTTTCTCCCCAAACCATATATATTTACATAAAAAAAAAAAGAAGTAGAAAATAAGATTAGTAGATTATTAATAGATTAAATAACATCATAAACATTTATAATGTTATGTATTTGTTTATTTAATCTATTAATATCTACTAATACTTATTTTCTACTTCTTTTTTTTTTTATGTAATATATATGTTTGGGAGAAAAGAATAGATAGTTGAGTAGTGGAGAAGGGGTAGGTTTAAATAAGCATATGCTTCATTCCTACTCCTTTTTCGGACATGCTTGGGGTTCCACGATTATTATTTTTTGTTTTGACTATTGTTATGGTGATTTGTTTGGTTTTTTTTTAGTTTACTTTGTTGTGTTACTCTCACATGTTAAAAAATAAACTAAATAAATAAAACTAAAAAAAAGGCGACATTGGGGGTAGCTTATTAGCATTAGCAGCTAGCTTGCTTGCATTGTTCATTGACGAAATGAATTTAGACAATTACATAAAGAATGGAAAATAACAAGTGGGGGGGGTATTAGCATCTTCATTGGTGACAAACAGAAGGTTGACAACAGAAAACATCTTTTAAACCAATGAGCAAGATAGACAAGTGACAAAGTGTATATGGAGTGACATTTTGTTGTTTGTGATTGTATATAAATAATGATGACAATATATATTGCAATAATTGATAATGGCAGCATGAACATGTGCACGTACAGGTACATAGAAGGCTTGCCCTCATTTTTCATTAGCGGCTACATTAGCAGCTAGCTTGCTGGCATTGTTCATTGATGAATGAATTTAATGAATTTCTTTATAAAATTGCAAAATGACAAGTGGGGGGGCTAGTTTTTCTAGCATTAGCAGCTAGCCTTAGTATTAAGAGCTAGCTTGCCTGGCATTGGTTTCATCGATGAAATGAATTTAAAGGATAGACTGCAGAATAATACCAATGTAAACAAAGTGAGAACTTTCTAAATGCACTGATTGATTGTCCAAACAGCCATCTCTAGTTTTCTTTTCCAGCAGGGAAGTTTCCTCCGGGATGAAGTTTAATTCAGGCAGAGGAAA